CTAAACCATGCCTGCGGCGCAAAAGGCTTGCATCAACCTTAATTTTAACCACATCAATGAATTTTGAAATATTATTGATTTGGTAAATAGTATCTTCAATGTTGTCTGCAACCATCACTATTGCCTCATGGTTACATTTTACAAATCACTTGTGATAGTATTCACGTACCATAATTTATCAGTTGATTTACTGAGATTAGATTTCTCTTCAGATTTGGAACATGTCTTACTTCATTGAGCTTTTGGACTATGTCATTAGACAACTTTATATCAACATCACCCTTTTTTACGATACTGCATACATTGTTATCTCACAAATAAACCTTCTCTAGATCACTCTGACTGTTATTTTTAAAAAAAATTTTGCTAGGGCATGCATGAAAAGAGGCATCTGGATCTACTGTCCAAAATTCAATAGTTATTAGGGATAAAATCAGGGAGCACCTTGTATTTCTCCTATGAAGATATTTGTAGAGAGATTTTTTTCTTGTTCTCCACCACCAATCTTTCTTGGAGCTTTACAATTGTTCTTGAAATGAACTTTCTTCCATAATTTTAGCATTTTCCTCTACCATTTTCTCTGTTTGACCTGGACTTTCCTTTTCTGAACTTGAATGTGTCTCTATTTGTATTATTGTCCAGATTTCTTCTCCCGTTTTCAATGTTCAACTCAAAAATCTAAAGATTCATCATTCATTGTTTTTCTGTGAATTTCTTCTTTAAACAATAACTCATGATGTTACCGAAGTTCAACGTCATATTACCTGAAAGTTACAGTTGTAACCAGTCTCCATCATACCCTTTGGCAATGAAGACAAAATTAACAATTTCTCGACCTTATCATAAAATTTGATACCCACATAACACAATTGACTAGTCACAATAATGAAATTGTTTGTGTTTATCCATTGAACTGCATTTGGCCATCTTCATATTGAATAATTTTTTTATTAGAAAAATTTTATTTGACCCAAGATGTTTTATATATATCTTTTTCAGTGCCGCCTTGAAATCCACCAATGCTTTTTTCATTCACTTTGTTGAATGCAACAGATGAGGAAGGTGAAAGACGAATCAAATATTATATCGTTCTATCCAGCACTTCACATTCTTTTAGAGTCATTATGTTAAACTTCTTGATGATTCCTTGTAGTGACAAATACAATTTTTTTTGTACAGCATTTTCCAAAACGCAAAGTTTGATTCATTGAACTTCTCGACCTTGTACCTCACTTTATCGACACTCACTCGAATTAAAAGTCTTTAGAAAAGAAACCCCTGCTCTGATATCACTTTTTGGGATGGTAAATTGAGAGCTTAGATCGATTAACAATTAAAACCACACCGTGGAAGAAAATGATCACACTAATTTGAGAAATCAAGAACAAAATATCAAACAGAAACTCACACTAAAGTAATTCCAGAAATCACACTAAGATTTAACATGAAAAATTTTCAGAATGGGAAAAAATTACAAAGTTACATTCATCAAAAACTTCATTATGAAAGAGGAGAAAATTACACCACTTAAATTTACTCTCTGCTCCACTAGAGCTTATAACAATTTCGCTCCAAGTCCTCTTTTGATCTCACAACAAAAATCACATGAAATCCTTCCTCTCGATAATTTGTCGCTCGTTGTATAAGCACAACGTCCAAAAAGAATTTACATGGCACGCAAGAGAGTAAAATTCACTGGTCCTAATTGAGGAATTAAATCCTGTTATAGTAGATAACTACACTTAACATAACCACGCTGCTACACGACAAAAAATTATTACGTCCGGACTCCAGACGTAGAGATAATTCTGGAGTCCAATGAATCACCTCCCCGTGGAGCTGACAAAAAAAAAACTCATTTTCTTGTGATCCGGCCCGATAACTGATCCCGACTATTTATATGTAATAGTATAATAATGTATGCAATTATATTCTCCACTTATCTTTCCTACTTTGCAACGACACCAAAAACTTGATCTTGAGAAAATAAGAATTCTACTTTTTAACTTATATATATATTGAGATATTACGCAATAATATATATCATTATCAAGTAATATAAGACTTTTTGATAAAGCCATGAATATTGAACCCGCAGAGATTTTTCACAATATGCACTATTAAGTAATAAACTTCTATTTCAAAAAGACAATTACTTAAACTGAATATATTATCTCAGTAATTAAAGTTCAATTTTTTTTTGTTTTTTTTTTATATTTTGACAAAATGATAACTTCTAAAGATAACTCAAGTTTTTGTAAGATAAGAAGTACTGAATATGGAATATATTTTTCCTTATCATGAATCAGTAACAAGTATAAAAATTTTATTGTGGAAGTATGCAAAATTGTGTTGTGTCAAATAGGAGCAATATTATTATTTACCCTTACTAGATATGCTATAAAGAACATTGGTTAATTTAAAGTTTGAATAGTTCTGAAGACCGGTTAGGCAGGGAAGATATCAGCTCTCACTCTAAAGTTCCCTTGACTTCCTCCACCTGGGGGCTAACATCGCGAATCAAAACCTAAAACAATAAACCAAGTTGGGGGTTTTAACCTGTCACTTTAAAGTCCTCTAACTATATACCCTTCAACGATTATTTCCCTATTTATTTGTATTCAATCATATGAATTACATTCTCATCCAAACAATCTCATGTGATTCTTTTCAATTGTTGACTGAGACAATACCATCCCGGTTCTTACATGTTCTCACAACAAATTTTAACATCTTGATGGGTCAAATCAAGAAATAAATGAAGTACATGGAGTTAAATCATCTCAACTTATTCTAAAATTAAAGATTAATACTCTCGACAACTTTCATCCAATATTTTTTTTAGTTATCATTTTAAGGAAAAAGATAAATAAAACTACTCAGAATTCATGGAGAAAAAAAAACCACACTTTAGTTTAAAAACAGAAATCATTGTCAAACTAATAAGAAGTCTCAATTAAAACCAAATGTAGTAACAAAAAGATAAAAACTTATATCAAATCCTCCACCACACTCTTGAAGTTCATTTGAATCTCTTCTCTTCTTACAACACTTTTAACTCACAAAAACTAGAAACTAAAACTAAAATAAAGATAGATGTTGGCATCTTACAGTCTCTCTCAGAAATCACAACAAAGAAGAATCTAGAAGTAGCCCTTGAGGAGACTAGAAGTAGCCCTTGAGGAGCAAAAAATTTTCTGTGCGGACTCCTGACTTAGCTCTACGTGCGGCGCAGTATTCCTGAGTTATTTTTTATTTATTTTTCATGATCCAGACGTAACCCGGAAATAACCCGCGGTCTTTATTTTTGGGTTATTTCTGGGTTATTTCGGGATTATTAAAAATAACCGAGAAATAACCTGAAAATAACTCAGAAATAACTTGCACCGCACGTAGAGGTACGTCAGGTGTCCGGACAGAAAATGTGCCCCTTGAGGAGACTAGAAGCAACCCTTGAGAAGTCACATGCCTCTCTTTTTTATAGTGTTTCAAGACGTGTCTTAATATCTCTTCAAAATGTGTCCAAATTCGATGTATTCTCCAAAGGATGTCTCATTTCACATGTCTTTTAACTATATTTTCATTTCTAGTGGTCATAACTACTCTCTTTAGCCAATAGGTGCCTCAAATGTCCCTTCAAAATTTGTCAAAATGAATTAACCCATCAAGGAACTATCATTAGCGCTTAAGCGCGGGGCCTCTGACGCTTAGGCACGACCTTCTCTGTTTCACCGAAGCTTAAGCGTCGGATCTGACACTTAGGCGTCAACATACTTTTGCACCATTTTTGCATTTTTGCTTCATATTTGATCATTTTTCACTCCTTTTGCATTTTTTCATCTTTTTAGTTGTACCTGAAAAAAAAACACAAATATTTTCATAAAAGCACAATATCTCAAAAATATGTATAAAAATGTGTATAAAAATACTATATATTTTAGGTGTATCAGTAGCACAGATGAATATTTCTCTCGTGTTATTTTGCGTTATTCAGGTGTTATTGTGGTGGTATTGATGTGTTATTGTATTATTATAACACCAGGAATATTCCCAGAACACAATAATATATGAATACTACCACAATAACACCTGAATAACGTGGAATAACACGGGAGGAATATTCCCTTGTGCTAAAACGATTTTTTTTCTGTTTCCTTCACGTGGCGTGATTTTGTTGAACTCCGGACGTATCTTGTGCTAAAATAATTTTTTTTTTTGTTTCCTTCACGTGGCGTGATTTTTTTGAACTCCGGACGTATCTTTACGTCCGGAGTCCGGACGTAATATTTGTTCACTGCACGACATAAGTATTCAACACGCTATGCTCTACACCTAGAATGTGAAACAAGTCGACGTATTTATGTCATTCGGGAATGCCCTGGCTTATTTAAAAAACCAAAAACTATTTCAAGTGAATGTTCTAACTGGCGTAGGTACGCCGCCTCTTCTCTGCTGCTTGGCCCACTTGGGTGCTCATTCAGCACGCTCGGCTCTACACCTAAAATGTGAAACAACCCGACATATCTATGCCGCTCGGGAATGTCCCGGCTTATTTCAAGGAACCAAAACTATTTCAAGGGAATGTCCCGGCTTGCATAGGTATGCCGCCTCTTCCCTGCTGCTTGGTACTCTCATTCATGCTTCACTTCTCAACATTATTTTATCTTGCTCATTAACGAGCAGAATTCGAGCTGAGCACGGACAAGCTCAGTTAATAGTGACCATCAAATGCATCAACAAACTTTCAATTTATGACTCGCATGGAAAAAGCTTTGTTATTTCTCGTAGCATAATGTCTTTATGATTCATAGAATGATTTGTAAAGCATACTAAATGGCCTTATTAATAAGATGAACAAGTTTTTAAATATGTGATTTTTGTGGTTCCTAATATATTTATAAGGGATTTCTTTCCACTGAACCATTTCAACTTTATGAGAACAAAATGAAATCATGATTACAATATTAATTGATGAATCGCTCATTCTTACTCTATTGCAGATTATTGGAGATGGCATCTGGGTATTTTGGGATATGGCAAGTGGAAGATACCTTTGGAGGATGCTCAAGAGAAGTGAAGGAGATGAATAATCATGAAGGACTACAGGCTCATTGTATCTTGCTTAATCTTTCCAGCCATTCTTCCTTCTACTGAACTGTAATTGAGTTGTGTTTATGAAGTACAGTTAACCAAAATCATGAAGGTTGAGTTGTGTTTATGAAGTACAGTTAACCAAAATCCCTCTACTGTAGTACGGTTTTTCATGGCCTGAATTTTTGTAGGAAGATTTTCATACAGACCACTCAATTCGTATATATTTACATGTCGCAGCTAAACTTCAATTTTTACGCATGTGCCATCTTATCCATGCATTGAATTTAGTGTTATAAAAAGATAACATAATGCTGGTATGAAAGCTTTCGGTATATGTAAAAAGTTAAATTTAGGTGTCATATATGTAAATTGATGGGAATTTTGTTGGAAAAGTAATCAAATATATGGGCCTACATATGCCATTAAATGTATACTATATGCTATTTAAATTTTGTTTTCAAGCGATCTAATTAAGATTAAGGAAATAGAGGTTTTGGTATAAAATAAAACATGAAACAATTGTGTAGAGACTTAATTTTATATTTCTAATTATATGATTGGTTAAAATAAAAATATGAAATAATTACTAACGTAACATTTTTATATAAATTAATTTATTATAGGATTTTGAGATGATCATATGGATGTGATATATGCAATTATTAACTGAGCCAAAGCAATGGTAATATTTCAATAAATAAAATTAAGGGCCCCTTTGGGGCAGCTTATTTGGGGCAGTGGCGTTTTGAAAATGTACCTCGTCTGTTTAGGTAAATTGCGTTTTGGCGGCTTATGCGTTTTGAAACACTGAAAACTGAGTTTTCACACCGTATCTATCTAGATGCGGTAACAACTTTCTGGCAGCGGTCTGCCTTTTCTAAGAAAATAAAAATTTCTAATAGTCATCGTACCTAACATATCAGCAGATTATTTTTAATCAATTTATCAACATATTATCCAATAAGCTGCAGCTGCCTCAAACATATCCTTAAATTCGTAGTAATATATATATAAT